AACACTACTCTCTATACATCTCCCTGTAAGCGCTCATTCTCCTAAAGGGGAATTACCTCAACAAGCCCCGTCCAATCCTCCGCAGCTGTGTGGCAGCTTTTAATAATGATTCCAAAGCTGACAAACAGGAAGCTTAAGTTCAAAGCCCGAGCGAAGGTATAAATATCCTCCACTTGCAACTCTATGTAGTCAGCTACCCAGAACCATCTGCTTGGCGGTTCCGCTTCATCAATAAACCATCTTTCCAATCAGCCTCCATGTTTCCAGTGCTTTTTTCCCAGCTTGGAACTGAACCAGATGTATATTTGTTCCAGCAATCTCCAGTATGAAATTGCCCCATTGGGTCCCCAATCTGTCACTGATGGAATTGCTATGTAGTAAAGCTGACGGAGGTAGCAAAAATGGCGAAAATGTTTAATTAGAGAAAAGATTTTATCTAGCTTTGTTTCTGTGTGGAAACCTCTTTTGGAATTTTGCTTGAAACTGAAAAAAAATGAAAATTTGATTTTAGGTTTTGATGATTAAAATAATTTTGTTATTATAGGTTTAGCTTGAAAAGTGAAATGTGAAGCAAAAGGTTGACGTGTTTTTATTTTTATTTTACTTGCACTGAAAAGAATCAGAGGTCACCACTTTTTCCCCTTTTCTCTGTTTGCACTTTTTCTTTCTCTTAGCTTTCTAGCTTTTGTTTTTTTCTGTGTTTTTATTTTTAATGCAACTTAATAAAAATTATATACAAAGAAACAATTTGCTATGCAGTACCTGGGCATTTTTTTTTGTATTGGGTTACTTTAGTTGATGATCATTTTTAATATATTTTTTCTACAGATTGTTCACCATCCAGAATTGCTTGTTTAAGGTGGGAGACTGTATAGATTTTCTAAATAGAATAAAATAAATAAATAAAAACTCTCCACAGACACAAGTGCTTCTGAAGTTAGTTTTATTTGGATCCACCAGAGACTTGGGGCAAGGGTACTAACATTTTTTATTATCTCAGTGTGAGGCACATCCAGGGACCAGAAATACAATCCATTTTGTGTCAGGACATTCCTTCAATGTACGTCATCTCTATGGAGTAAAAGTGAACAAAGGAATTGGTGCGAGAAATGTAAGCTATTTTTCATCATCTCCCTTCCCCAGATCTTATCCATAAGGCTATCAGAAAAATTGGCAACCCTGGCTTTCTGGCTAACAACTGTTATTGTTTTGTTTTATTTTTTATTTTTTTAAATACAGCATTTCTCAATGTTGGCAACTTGAAGACGTGGCTGGCTGGGGAATTCTGGGAGTTGAAGCCCACATGTCTTAAGGTTTGAATTCTAGTGCCGAGAAGGGCCAATGGGAGAAGATGCACCTGTTGGATTTTACACTGGCCACAAGCTGTTCAAGAGGAAGTCTATTGCTTTGTGGGGTCTTAATCCTTTTTCTCTGACTTTGGAAATTCTCTGTTTGGTGGACTAGTGTGACAACAAAGCAAAACTACAATGTGGCTGCAGATGGCCTCTAAAGTTGTGTTGTATTCTCCTTAGGAGCGCTCACAAAGTCTATTCCAGCAAATCCATCACTTTTCTGCATGTGATATTGCAAAGTGCATAGAAAATGGGCGGTGCTTGTGTTGTGATGTTGTCACACTGCTTGTGTTACTCTCTCATTGTCCCCCTGGATCTATCTTAACTCTCTTTGGTATAAACAGGAGGGAAGGAAGGAGGCATAGAGGAAAAATGCCACCAGGCTTCCAAGATTCCTTACTTGCCGTGTCCTGCAGAGGTGGTATTCAGCAGGTTCTGACCAGTTCTGGAGAACCGGTAGCAGAAATTTTGAGTAGTTCGGAGAACTGGCAAATACCACCCTTGACTGGAGATTTTACAGTATCCTTCCCCTGCCACGCCCACCAAGCCACGCCCACAGAACCGGTAGTAAAAAAAAATTGAATCCCACCACTGGTGTCCTGTATTAGTTTTTCTCAACCTCAGCAATTTTAAGATGCATCAGGGAATTCTGGGAGTTGAAGTCCACACATCTGAAAGTTGCCGAGGTTGAAAAACACCGCTCAGTATCAGGGGTGTCAAACTTGATTTCATTGAGGGCCACATCAAGGTTGTATTTTGACCGTGGGATGTATGTGTGTGTGGCCGTTGGTGGGGGTCGTGGCCAGCTCGACATCACTTGTGTTGGGGGTGCTTGTGGCGGCCCGATTGCTTTGCCAGAGAAAACGGGCTCCTGAGCTCCATTTTCGGGTGTGACTGACTCCTGTAACCCTCTGCCAGAAAAAATGGAGCTCGGGAGAGGAGCCCCCTCGAGCGCCGTTTTTGCTGGCAGAGGGTACTGCATGCTATTTCCAGGACGGCCAGATCTAAGCATCTTGCAGGCCGGATCTGGCCCCCAGGTCTTGAGTTTGATACCCCTGCTCTATATCAATAAAACGGGCTCCAGAATTTCTGGTGCAGTCTATTCTTTCCTTAAGGGGCTGATAAACACAACTTCCAGATTCATAGGTGACATTATTTAAAAGAATTTTTTTTAAAAATTGCTGTTGTTATTTACACACAGTGTTCCAAATAGTTCTAACTGGATCCAGTACTTTTGGCTATTAGGTCCTTCCTAAAATCTGGGACCCATCATTGCCACAGAATTGAAATTTGGCAAATTTTATAAAAGCATTTTAGGACATCCAAATGACCATAAAGCATTTTGTGACAAATTACAAAATGTCATGAAAGATTTCCTGCGGCCAACTGGTGACGTTTGACTGTGCTATACAAGAGAGGTGCCCATTGGCCGGGCCGCAGGCTGGTACCAGTTTGTGGATCGTTAGGAACCGGGCCTCACAAGCAAGTGAAGCTTCATCTCCATGTGTGCGAGATCTAGGTAGTTTGTGAAACCACACACATACCATTAGTCTGTGGAAAAATTGTTTTCCACAGAACTGGTTCCTTGCACCCAAAAGGTTAGGACCCACTGCTATACGTTTCAACACTGGCTATTTTCAAGGCAGATACATCCCTAAAATTTTAAGAACATTTGTAATGAAAGCAGCAGTGCATTAAGTGCCAGAGAAATCAGAAAATCCAGGCAGTTCAAATGAGTATAAAGGTTTATTGCTCGCTACAAGAATCTGAACTACTAACAGTCAAAGCAAATTGGCGGTAGATGTCAAAGGAATTCAAGGATTTCTGGATTTAGATTTCTTATGATTGCGAAAGGATTCATGACTGATGACACATTTGACACCCCCCCTCCAGGCTCAGCCAGGTCATCTCCTACACCTGCCATTGTTGATGGCATTGAAGAATCTGGCAAGAAAACATCTCTTTATCTACGAGCCAGGCTCATGGGTTGTCTAGTTTGGACTAAAGAGAAAGGTAACGTGCTTTAGTGAATGAGTTGGCAGCTTCAGATGTTTAACTCACTAGCTTGGAGGAGGATTAGGGTTTCTGTAGTCCATCGTGAAACTGCTCGTGTTCCCGTCTTCATCACTGATCAAAACTTCTGCTAAAGGATCGCAGCAGGTTGACCTATGGAAGAGAGCAAAAATAACACGGTGGATAAATAACGGGAGAGAGTGAAGGAGGAAAGAGTTTGGACAGCTACAAGCGGAATGGGGTTTAAAAACAAGGACACCAGAATGAAAGAGTTCTGCAAGCAGTGAAAGAATTAGAAGGCGTGACCGCTTCACTAAGGCAATTCCGCCGTTAACATGTTTCATCAAGGCGAAGTGCAGGTTGTCCTTGACTTATGACCATTCATTGAGTGGCTGTTCGAAGTTACAACAAAACTGAAAAAGTGACTTACAATCAATCCTTGCACGCATGACATTGTAGCATCCCTACAGTCACGTGATCAATATTCGAATTCTTGGCCTGTGGCATGTAGTTACAAACGGTTGCAGCACCCCAAGGTCATGTGATTGGGGGGGCCTTTCCAGCCAGTTCCCAACTGGGGGAAAATCTGGATTCACTTAATGATATGCAACTCATTTAACAACGGCAGTGATTCACTTAAAAACTGTGGCAAAAAGGTCATAAATTTGAATGTGACTTACTTAGAAACCACTATGCTTACCAGTAGAAATTCTGGTCCCAGTTGTGGTTATAAGTTAAGAATGACCTGTACTTATTTTCTTATGCTACACAGTCTGGTTGAAATACGAACATACATTATTTTACCTTGATCAATGAAGAAAGAAAAGGAAGAATATAGACTAGTGTTCTGCAGCTGCTGTGTAGCTCCTTTTAGGTTCAGGGCTAAAATTGGGGTTTGAACAGGATGTCTCAAAAGTAACTGGTCAGGGCATCATAAAAATGAAATTTTGTTCAGATTAAATTTAAATATGGTCAATACATTTTTTCCGGTACTTATATGTTTTTACTATTTTTTTTCCCTTTACGTTCAGAATTACAGTTTGGTAATAACTGTGGGAATTTAGAATGTCAACTTTTCTCAAAGTAAGGAAATGCTTTAATAAGATGGTGATTTGTAATGTTAGTAATTAGTAATTTTACACGGATGGAATACAATTTATTCTCTTCATGTTAAGGAATAGATTCAACATATGTGATGTGAAGTTATTGTTATTATTATTTGGAATTATAGATATATTCTAAAAATGGAGCATTTTTTTTCTAAATAGTGTAGATTTAATAGGCTTAAGGGCCAAATTAATTTCATATATATATATATATATATATATATATATATATATATATATATATATATATATATATAT